TATGTTTTCCTTGCTTTCTCCGTGTTTTCCTTCATGTGCCAATTTTTTTTCTTCACATTTTCCTTCCATTACTCTTTCCATTGCATTATTCTGTTCTCTTGTCATTTCTCCCTCTATTGCTTCCTGCGGTTCTTCTATCTGTTTTACTGCTTTAAAAAAAAGAAAGAAGTAAATAAAAAAGAGAAGTAAAATTTACTTCTCTTTTTTCCCTTCCAGTTTGCACTGTTTAACAATGTCCTCTCTTAGTGAACTTTTTTTGATAACATATTCATTTAGTTGACGTTTGGATAATTCGTTGGAATAGATGGTATCTAACTGGCCATTTTTTATTTACAAATGGAAGTTGGCCTGCTTCCTCTGCAATCGCAGTTCGGAGGAATGCACTTTCTTGGTCTGCCTCATCTTTGTTTTCAATAAAAAAAATACCATTCTCTTCGTGGATCCGTTGAACTTTAATAGACGGCTGTATTGTGAATAAAGTTTGTCTTCAAGTACCTTAGATAGTACTGTGAGTTGATTATCATTTAAAAGGTTTTTACGCGTTCCAATTACAAATACAACAGAATTTTCTTTATCTGCATGAACTGCTACAGACTGAACCCAAAATTCAACACGTTCAACAAGACCACGAGAATCTTCAATACCGTTTACTATGAATTCACTGGCGTCAAAAACCACAAGGAAGACTCCTTGTCTCGGTATAAATATGTGATGAGTATCGTAATATATTTTTTGGCCTGCAAAATCGCAAATAATCCATCGCTTATCAGGAGGACAATCACCAAACTTATATGCTGCAGCGGTAATATTTAAATGAGACAAGGGAATGTCAGTTTCTACTTCCATCCATAAATATATCTCTATAGCCATAAACACTATGATACTGAGAATAATTTCTAATACTTTTATTTTACAATTAATTGTACAAATCTAGAAAACGAAAATCCCGAGGAGTATTCCGATTCCCACTAAAATATTCAAACCTAACATCCGCAAAAAAAATATCGATGGGCGCCGGAGTGAATTCAGCTGAATGACATGTGTATTCATCCAGGAGTATATGTATAAATTATGAAGAAGAACTATAGTAAGCTCTAAACTTAGAACAACAATGTCACATTTAATTACGATTATTAGAATCATGAAGACCATTAGGTAAATAGTATGTGCCATATTTGAGAAGTAATGTCTTAGAAAACGGCGGAATAAACATTCAAATAATAAAAATATGATTGAAACCCACAAACGCATATTCAATATGTAATATTCATACTCTTGACTAAATTCGTGGTCAGGTAGTCGATGCCTAACTTGATGAACCATGAGAACAATTCCAAGTAAAATTCCCCTGCTAATCATAACAAATCTTTCAAGTAAGATTCCCCTGTAAAAACCAAACATGCGTAAAGCATTGCTGACGAAAATGCCATCATACAGTAATAAAATTACCATATTAAATGTCACCTGTTCTACCAGTTGCCCATAAAAGGTTCTTTCGACCTCGGCCACTGATGCAACAATGGCAATTACCAAATGGGTTAACATTCGGAAAACAGAAATTCCCCCACTCACATTACAAGCGTGATAATATAGCACAAATATGGGCAGTGCAAAATTCAACAGCATAAAATCGATAGGGGAAACGTGTATTGTTAAAAACAATTCCAGTGAAATAATGGACACGTTGATTAACACAGAATACAGGACTCTGTAGCGCATGGAAATTTGAATAAATTTCTTGTTTTCAGTATCAAAATGTTCCTTAATAGTCACATGAGAAGCAATTTTCTCAAAATCATCATCCGATGACCCGGCCTTTTTCCAGTTGGAAGTTACGTTGGTGATTTCGATGCCCTCCGTTCTAGGCATGTCCTGATGAAATCCCTCTCCACATAAACGTTTTCGTGTTGACGTTTTCCCAGCGCCCTCGTCACCAAGAATTAACACTTTCGTTCGATTGAATGGCCGCTCCGCAGTAATTCCATACCAAATGTACAAACTTCGAATACGCTTTTGCAATGCTCGATAATTGTTTTTCACGAAGAAAAAAATAAGCATAACCACTATCCATGAATACTGCGTAATTACTGCCATTATTTGTATATGCCTAGATACTTGGCTCATTCGAATTTGAATTGCGTTGGATAGTAGTCTCTATTACTCGCTACCGATGTTTGTTGAACAACATTAAACAGCGATCAATAACGGTCCGTGAGGGCTATTAATTACTGCTAATAACCAATCATAACATACAATTCAGTGTCATATCTTTGTGTTGCGCTTTAGGTACCTGATCAGCATAACAATATCAAGATAATTTTATCAGCCGATATCAGAGTAAAAGATCAAAAGTTACCAACAACAATTGTCTATTTATAATAATTTATTATAAATAATTACCAATTATGGAAGTTATAATTCATTGTTATATCACTCTGTTTTGCTTATAAGTCCAAAATCACAATTAAAAATCAAATAAAAATACTTTGATCAGTCGACATTGGGGTGAGAGTCCAAAATTTGCTTTTTAATTGACCAAATATTATAACAATATTTTATAAAAAATTTAAGAACAGGAAAAATAGCTGAAAATGTAGCCAGTGGCCAGTTAAGAGTTTATGCGGAGGCGTTTATTTTTAATGGATACGTATAATATACTCCAACAAAAAAGCCCTTAATTTCACTGTAAATGTGGAACTGCAACACAATTAAAATCAAAATGTGTCACTTGTCTTCTCATAATGACATATTAATCCAAACCAGGTTGGAAAAATGTAATTCTACTGCAATAGAATATTGTACATTAACAGAATGCGTTAAGAATGATTGCTTCCATTTGATTTGCCTGGGAGCGTTTGTTTATTCGAGGGAGGGTTTTTTCCAAATAAAGCTCTAGAGGGGGAGTTTATTCAAAGTGGGGCATTTATTCGAATATTAAATATGGTATTCAAAGCATTCATATGTGTTACCCAATATCTCTTGCTTTATTATTTAAATTCATATCCAGTCAAAGAGTGGAACAAGCATGTGCTATTTTTGGCAACCTATGTGAATGTAAATATGCATATTTGATATAGTGAGAATTTCATGCAAGCATGATTGGAAACAATAGGCTGGGTGAGATTAGAATAAACAGCCTAAACAAGTACACAGGAAGGCCAAAACTAAACTTTAGAGGCAAGCCTCAATAAATAGGCCAAATGATTTATCCAGAATTGGTTTAATTTAGTGTACTGGGAGAACGTTCCTAATATTGAGTCCAAATGGTGTGGTTGTTTTAAGTAAAAGTTCCCAGTGATTCTCTTTATCTTTGCGATTTTTGTCGCTCCAACTGGCATTGTGGTCAATTGCAATCACCCTGAAATTTGAAATTGAATGACCAGCTAAATTGAAATGTTCGGCTACTGGTTGATCAAGCTTAAATTTTCTGATAGCTGATCTATGTTGTGTCATTCTCATATGGAGAGTGTTTTTTGTTTCTCCGACATATTGTTTACCACAAATATTAGAATATATGAGATAAATGACATTTTTGGTGAGGCAATTAATTGCCAAAACCAGCAGCCATCTTGGCCTAAAAAGAATAATTGTCATATTTATTTTTGCATTCATTACTCTTTAATTTCGATCAGTTCAAATACTGTAGATATTAAAGTACACATCACGATTTTATCTTTTAGGATTGTTCATCCAATATTAATCATTATGTAAATGTTAACTTGGGTTAAATATAAGATCGTGTCTAATAACATACAGTAACCAGGGAGTTGCACCATAAACACTGAGATGAATTTATAAAAATAATTAATGTGAGTTTAAATAAATACTTAATCCATATAGACCGGTCTCGTATAAAGTAATAAGAAATATATTAAACCACAGATGGGCAAAGTGCGGTCCGCGGACCGCATGCGGCCCGACAGCGATTTTTTTTTTTTTGCGGCCCGCCCCTGTTTGCGGATGCCCACCCCTGAATTAAACATATGAATTTGTGCAAAAAGTACAAAAAAGTATACCATGCATTTTAATGAGAATTTATATAAAAGAAATATATATGCTTTTTAATAACCTAATAAAGTCGTCTTTATTAAACAACTGAATGGTAATTTTTTATGTTCAATTATTCTTACATATGTTTTTATTAATGGTGGCCAAACATAATTCTGATTTAACTTCTTTTTTTTTATATAAGTTGCGGCATTATTACATAGATCATGGAGGTACAGTATAATCTCCATGCATAGATGGAGTTCAGTTAAAAGGCCGTCCTTTGACAGCACAAAATTCACATTAATCATAGTTATCTTTAAAAGACAATTCTTACTTACACTAAATAAGGATGGATTTTAGAAAAAAAAAACCCATGAGTTTACTTCGATGTATGCACTGTGTGATAGCTGTACATGGATTTAACGGTACTTTTAAATACGTTTAAAATGTTTCATTTTGATTGTTTTTTTTTTTTAATTTGTTTGCTTTCTTTTTTTTTTTCTAATGCCTTCAGATGGGCGACCATAAGCCACCGCGCGCAGGTCTTGGCAATGGTCTGACTTGTTGGCCTAGAATATTGTCATATTTTAAGTTCTGTTAACATTTTAAATGGTTTTCAATCTACTTTTTGTCTAATCTCGTCATGTTCGTTTTACACTACAATTAATGAGTAGTAGAACTCGTATTAAAATCGATTCCGACTGGTGAAATCAGTGAATTTTTGAGCAGAGTGATATTATAACCAACTACGAGCATCAAGTCTTTGTTTTTTTGTGTTTTTTTTGGTTTGGTTGTTGCTATGTGCTTCATTATTATGACGTAGGCCTACACGTATTTCCGCGCTATACGCGTATAAGGAACATACGCCTCCCACGTGCAAGATACCCAACACCGGGAGGCAAAGATCTTACAAGTCTGTGAACGCCATGGTGAACGCACACATTCCGAATTATTTTAGTACAGTATCCTGATGGCGTTCCATACACTAAAACATCCGAGTTCATTTTCATCGTCGATTTATGCGCAACACATTGGACATGGTGATGAAAGTTTCGAAATTTGGCTGGTCTTATGTTTATTGAATAACTGTGATTAAATAAATCCTTTTGTAAAAATTGTTAAAGAATAACATACATGGTATGTATGGAATATAAATCTTAATTTAACCTTATGATTTACGTTGTGAGTTTGGTAAATTCGAACTTCTAAGCTAAGCCTAGGACTAGGCAGCAATGTGTTAGGCCTGGCTTGCCGCCTACTACTGCTAGTGTAACTCTAGGCCTAGCTTGGCCTAGGGCCTAACCAAAATTTCTAGCTAGAGGAGCCTACAGTAGCTACTACTACTAGCTAAGTGACTTGCCAAGGCTAGTCTTGGTCTAGCCTATGTACGTATAAGTTACGTACGTATGGCCCATTTACTTTCTAGTGTACTCTCTAACGTGGGAGGTTAACCAACCAGGTCCAGGACCTAGCCAAGTGCATGTCGTTTGGACTAAAAGAAAAGGAAACAGAAAGTGAAGTTGAAGTAGCCTAGTGCCTAGGTTAGTGTAGGCCTAGTTCCTAGCTATTATTACTGTATTAATATTATCAGCCAAGCTAAGTAGTAAATTCTACCCTAGAAACCATTGGATGATGAAATGTGGATTTTAAATGAAAGTCAAATCATCAAAGAATGTATTAAGTGTTGATTAATTGTAGGTGTTAAATTATTTGAGAATCGTTTTTACGGCCAGATGCGAAACCATACCAAAGCCGTCTAGGCCAGCTCATAGAATTTGGTTATTGATTGATGATGTCTTCTCTGATTTGATATGAAACATTTATTGTACTCTTGTAAGTGTGAATCTAACTAGGCCTAGGTCCTAGATCTAGTTGGAAGGCTGAGCCCAGGCCCAGACTCTTTCTCATTTTTTCACTGATGATATTGCAGGCCCACATGGTAAAGTATTTTATTGCGTGAAATACGACCTCATATTTGTGCATAATATCGACGGTCCTGCTCACATTTGTTAAATGAAGATAAAAGTCCCGTCTACAGTACTGTAGATGCTGCACAGGCTTTGATGAGTATTGTTTACTGCATACTGTAGGGCTCCTGCAAGCAAAATGAGTAGAATGTGTTCTCCACTCGCAGGAGTCTCCCAGAAATCCGGAAGGTTTCCCTTGAGCAAGCAAGAATCTCACGAAAAATAACCCATCTAATTTGCAAATTCAAATTATTTAGTTTTTGCCAATATTTAATACTGTTATCAATTCTCTCCCGAATTCACCATACTTTAACAGCAAAATGTAATCAGATGTGGAAAGAAAGTTCATTTAAACAGATCTTCCAGACATATACTATAGAGTATCACTGTCGTGTTGTCACAGCACCATGTGCCGCCCTCTGGACGTTGGTTACCGTTCATTACGCCTGAATGACTTCATAATCTTAATGGTTTAGAATAGGCTTTCTGGAATAGGCATTTTAAAACCTAATAATTTACCATTAAAATGTACTGAAAACACAAAAAGCTTGCATTATATTAGTTATCGAACACACATTTAATCATCAATTAACATTTACAAAGAAAAATTAAGATACAACATCTTAATAATTATGTTAGAAATTGGGATCAATGGAGTAGTATCACATGGTATCGTGACATAACACTGTAGTACTTTATTCTTTCAACTTTGGACTCCAATTATACAAATATGGATGCCATGTATTTTTAGCCCCAACCATGGTGAGGCAGAGGTGGCATCCATCTCCCTGAAATTTTGTATCCTTAATACTGTGTATAGGTTACTGGTTGTTTATTGAGAGGTAAGCCATGCCCTAATTTTCTGGAAAAAGTGAGTGGAAATTGTGTTCTAACAGATTTCTCTAGGCCTAAATTTTGTGTAGTGATATACTGTATTCCCTACGCAGGTCTTATTTTAGTCTAGTGCAGGACAGTCGAGTCAAGGCTAGAAACTGTCCTTGTGTAGTATTTGTCAATAGCCAAATGTGAATCATAGGCCTACTACTACTAAAAACTAAAACTAAAAAGCTCCAGATCCAAATTAATATTTTTAATTCGTTTCTAAAGTATTTGTAAATTATTAAATTTTTTGCTATTATTGGTGTAGTATTCTTTATTATATAATATTTTTATTAGTAAATAATTAAATATATATTTATATAGTCCATCCTGAGCCCATGTATTATTGCTAAATAATATTAGTTTTTGAGAGTCCTGAATGATCAGCAATATTTCTGGATGGTTTACTTGCATTCAATCAATCAATCAACTTAAGAATTTTGCTTTAATGGTTTGCTAAATGCTGTAAAAGATACTGGCCGTAAACATTCAGATTTTTCGACAAATGTTAGGCCTAGGCCCTTGCACATCTACGGCATGGTCAGTTATGCATGATGGTCTTCGACCCGAGATCTAGGCTGCGATGTTAGGGCCAGTTAAGGTTGATGAAATATTACTTAAATTTCAAAGCATACAGTCCAAGGTCAAAGCTAGGATAAGTAAATAAAGACTATATTGCTTTTCCTAGCCATTTACTTCTCATGTTAACAGTGGGTGGTTGTTTTCGAACCATAACATTATCTTTTCCAATGCTATCACACTGTATTGTTTTTCATGTATACCCAATTTAGGTCACGTGACCGCCTGTAAACAACCATCTCCAAATCGCTATATTAAAGACTTGTCTTTCTACAGTTCCAAATGAATATTTATCTCTTTTCTTTATATAATATTTCTAGTTTAATACTTAACACGTTGGCTGCCAGCAACGAGTATACTCGCCTACAGGGTGTTGCTGCGAGCGCCTGGGACAAATACTGTATTTTGTCAAAATCGGGGTAACGTTCTAGCATTTATAACTTCTTTGTTATACATTGTAGAACTGCAGATGCAACGGCTAGTAGTTCGGGGATGGTAACATGCAAATGATCTACAGTATGTATGTTTGTTGTGTTATGTTGCCGATAGTACACTCGAGCGGCACAAGTGGGGGCTCCCTTTGAACATATACCAACCCATGCAAAAAGCGGACGAGAAAACTCGCACTTGGCATAGTCAATAAAAAGTGCTATCACAGTGCCGTCGACGAGTTTACTCGCCACCTAATATTTTCCCGCCAATTTATTAGACACATCATTTTGATGATATATGACAAGATAAAGTTTAAAAAAAGTATGTTTTTTTGGCACACGGGAAGGAACATTAAAACAAGTTCTGGCAGTCAACGTGTTCAAGACCAAAGCTGCTGCTAAAGACTATGAAAACCCTGGTCTTTAATTTGGGGGAAACCTATATTAACCTAATTACGTTTCATAAGTGGTTGGCACAGCGGTTGCGTTTCAGTCTCTCAACCTCGGGGTCGGTGATTCGAACCGTCTCTCTGCATTTGCGTTTGTGTTCTTGGAGAAGGCAATTTACCTACGCGTGTCTCTCCCCACCCAGGAGTAATATAAATGGGTATCTTGTGGCTCATTACTGGGAAGGAAAAAAGGAGGTGTGGAAAGGAACTGGCTACCCTACTGTAACACATACCAAGGCTTAATACAATGGGCTAACAGCTCATTGCCATTTTACAATTGTTAGTGATTCGAATACAGGCTACCTTATACCTTTTAATTCTTATGGTTATTTCCCAAGGCATCCATTGTCAGGATTTCCATTTGCCATCTCTCTAGACATATTTTTTTACTCTCCTGTTGTCTCTCAAGCATCTGTTGCATTTTTTATGACATTATCTTACCCTGGAATTAGGGCTACAGCAGGCTGCCTACTAACATACCACCAGCTCCTTTTTTCTTTTAATTAATTAAATGTAAACAAATTCATGAAGTAAAAAGCTTGTATTCAATAATACATAATTTGTACCCAACTGAGAAAAATAATTTAAGTATCACAAAAGTTATCAGCTTTTATTATTAAGTCCTAAGTCATAAAAAATTATGGTTTTTTCAATGATTTATGAAAATCCTTACATTTGCTGGTATAAACTTAAGGGTATGTGAGTAATAAATTTACATTTATAACAGGTTTAAATAGTACACCTTGTAGGCCTATACTGCATTGGTAGTTGGGGGTGGGGGAAGGCACACAAAAATAATTTCACCCCTGTTGCTGCCCTCCCCCCCCCCCAAATTGGAAATGCACGAAGTAAAAAAATCAAGCTCAAGTAGTTGATTATAACCGAATAAGACCTTATTATGCGACCTCACAACCTCCCTCACTTGATCATCGAGTCCCCAAACTTCACCATTGTGCTCTTCCCCCATCCCAGCTACGCCACTGATATTTTTTTTACAGCTTTTAGACTGTGATTATTTAAAACTGTAGGGCCTATTCACAATAAGTTTGATTGAATCAGCGAAAATAAAAGTTTTACTCTAAGGACCTCAAGTGGCTTCTTATTTATTACTCTTCAGTTTATTTCTTTAAGCGCCATTAAATTTTATTCTTATTTTTATTTAATTTTTGCACTAATAATGGCAGTGCCATTAAACATACCAGAGTTCAGGTAAAAATCAGCAGTAAAGGGATATGACTTTAATAGTAACAACACCAATTTCCCTCCGACTGCTGTATAAATATACAAGTATTTTTAAGAGCTTTGAGTACTATACTTAGCTTGCAGTAGGCCGCAAGTACAGTAGTGGTAAGCCAGGCCTAATGGACAGTGTCCACCAACATTATGTAACCACTGGTAGAATTGCTTGGTTTCTTTCGAGGCTGATCAATCTGCTAATAATTGACATCTACATTATCCTTTAAATATATGTATTGCGAATTTCAAAATTACATATCTTAAAATTCATTTTAAATAACTGAGATATCTGCAGTCCGTACCATTTCTTGAATACCTGATCAATAATATGGCTTGACATTTTACCTGCTTTCAGCAAGGCTTGGTCATACAGTATGACAATTATGGGTTATCTGATTGGCTCCGATAAACCATGACTGTAAACTTTACCATCAATTAAGTCAACACTACCCTAGGTTTTATAAACGCCCCGAAATAGCCTTTGAGGCATTTTGGGCAATCAATAATTTCTCTTTCTTTTTTTTTCTTTATTTTTTTATTTTTATTTTTTTACCTTCAAACAGGGGGAGGGCCGGGATCCCTTTAAATCTGCCCCGGATGTAATGGTTGAGTTATGAACGATGTTGAGGCTGGGAGTTTGTTTGTTCTGGTAGATACCATTTTGCAATGCTCTGTTAGTTTCTTTTTTTTTATGTACAGTGATACATGTTTTTAATGATCGTCTGCTGTCCCCAATGTATGTACAGTCAGAGTAACAACTGTTGCCCTTGTACATGATGACATATGTGTCTTTTTTTTTATTGTACTGTATCTTTAGGATGGACCAAGTTAGTTAAATGCTTCATTGATCATTTTTTTTCCTCTTTATTTACTTTGTCTGATTGTCTTTTCATTGTAGGCCTACAGAATAACATATTTTGTTACATGAACATGTTTTTAAAATACAGTTAATTGATTTATTGTCTATGTTATGATACTGCAGAAATTCTTTGACAGTATCTGTTGAAGAAGGTAACTTACCTGCAGTTTCATTGTCTGAGCCATTATTTTTTTAATTTGCTCATTATATTTACTAAAGAAAAGAAATATTATGCCCCTTTTTCCTACAGAATGTTAATTGTACTTTTTTTTATCTTCTTTTATTTGCTATTTACATAAAAAAATAAAAAATGATTATTGCCTTTTTTTTCGTCCAGATCATTAATTCTACTTTTGTTTTTTTATACAGATTAAACATGCCTGCCTTACAGGAAGTAGCAGCATCTGGAGTTCCCCTTCAGGTTGTCAAGGTGACAGATGACCATACGTTTGAACTGTGTGAAGATGTTCTGGAGAGCATTCTACTGCAGGATCACGTAAAGGGCAAGAAAGTGGTTGTTCTGTCGGTTGCCGGTGCCTTCCGCAAGGGGAAATCTTTCCTGTTGGATTTTTTTCTCAGATACCTGTCAGAAAGGGTAAGTAATCACTGGGGAGGGGGGTACTTGTGTTGGCTGGACCCAGACTGCACCAAAATCTAAGAAATCGTAGGTCAGTATTATAGTGTAACGTCTTGTCTTTTTTTTTTATTGTTTGAGAGAGCAGCTTAGCTCAGTTGGCTAATCTGGTGGTAGCCACTGTGTGTGCACTAAACTGTGAAGATCTCTAGGTCCCCGGTTCAATTCCCATTGCTGCCTCTCCTGGTGTTTCAGCTAGAGAGCTGAAATACAAGTTACAATAGCGCGCCGTTTTTCGGATGAGACGTTTAAGCCGTTGGTCCTGTGTGCATTATGGTCCATGTGCACGTTAAAGAATGCAGTACACTCTTTGGAAAAGAGTAGGGGATTGTCTCCCGGTGTACTGCCCAATCACCACCAGAAGGACCCCACTGGAAATAAATCTTCTAGATTTTCATGGACTATCCTTGGTGTTTACACCGAGTAAATCCAATCCACTCCAATTTTAATCTTTGGAGTTTAGGAGACAATTACGTAATAATCAAAACCCATGACAAGTTCTAAAAAGCGTAATAAATCTTTATTATCAAGAGCCAGTCATTTACCATTCTAAGCGCAGTGGTCTCGCCAGCTATGCTTAAGCACGGAGGGACCACCAGCTTGGGTGAAAAAAATGAAATAACCACCACACTTAGGGAAAAATAACTAAGACTACACCACGCTTAAAATATCGGCGCCATGCAAAAAAAAATATGTACAGTAAATTTTATTCAAAACATTATTACTAAGAAACTACCGAAGTGTGGCACTGTAAGCAGTTCCACAATGTTTCTATGGCTCTATATGCTTCAATCGCATACTGTAGTGTAAGGCACCCAATCCAACTGCAACGCTCAAGATTCCCATATCTCCTCACTGTCTGCATCCAAAAAACTTATTGAAGCATCTTCAATTTAGCATACTGTAGTTCTTGTCCCGATCGTCCCAAGATCACGACTTACTATCGCGAAATACGATTATTATGCATGGTCTAAGGCCTACATTATTTACTAACTGATCTTTTTTCTAAATAGGTTAGTAGTCCTAGCTATTTGAAGCTATCGTTGGAGTTTGGTAAAGAATATCAATTATGGTTTAATGGATGAGGGAAGAGAGGAAAGAAAATGATATCCCCACTCGTTGCTTTTTCACTAGATCTTCACCCTACCTGCTCTCCTATAAATTAAAAACATACTGGATAACTGGATAGGCCTATCGATTTTATAGAAGGGGGTGGGGGTGGGGTTCGTAGCGACTATTTTTTTTAAAGTATTTTGTTCATGGAAAAATTTTGTTACTGTATTAAACATATGCATATTTTTTTTTTTACAATCACATTATTTTTAATTATATGTTTTTGTTTTAAAAAATAGAATTATATGTAAAATAAGTAAAATGTTTTGGTAATTTAATTCAGCAATCCTCAACCATTTCTGATTTCAAAGCTTAACTAACTAAATATTTGATCACAATATACTGATTTGTGTTTTTCTGTTTTTAAATATTCCTTGTTTTTACAAATTCAGTACCTTTTTTACAGTACTAAAAGTTCAAATAAGGATTTTTAAATTTGGTTAAGTTTTTAATTTTGTTAATTAAGTTATTTTAAATCAGTTTTACTTTTTTTTATGTTTCTCTTTTGCCGTTACTGTATATTTTGATGATGGAGCAAGGGCAGTTTACTGTTTGGGCTCATGCCTATTCCTTGCTCCTGGCAAGATTGTACTCTTACTTTGCCAAATAAATATTATTATATTATATTTAGTGTGAACTTTTGCAGGGCTCAGAGGATTGGATGGGAAGTAACGATGAACCCTTGACCGGTTTCTCATGGCGTGGTGGTTCAGACCGTGAAACCACAGGTATCTGGATGTGGAGTGATGTATTCATTTGTCCTGGGCCAAATGATAAAGATGTAAGTATTTTACAAGAGGGACATTTTTCAATTATTGTGTGTTAAATATCCTTCTGCAGTTTGCAAGATTTTGTTTCCATCACTGTCAGATGACAATGTTTGCCATTGTTTTAACCCTTTGAACCCCGCATTATTTACATTTTGCGGCACACTCACCATGAGTTATTTGGACAAAATATGATTATTTTTTATTACAATCATCACCACCTCCTTAGGCCCTGTACCACTATCATAGCCATCCATCAACCCGACGGACAACTATCATCACTACCACTGCTGGCACTAGCACTATCGCGATTGGCCTAGCCTAGGGCTAGAAACTACACTGTTACCTCACTATCACTTTCCAAATCACTTCCTGGATAATCGTCATCATCATCAATACATTCTTTGGAGTCATAAAGTATCAATCGTAAAGCATGTTGGCATTTATTGTCAAATTATTCAATATAAATTTTTTTTTTCCAAAAAAATCAACACGTACAAGGCTGTCAGAACGACTTGGGAATGATGATGTCACAAAATTACGTCATACTACTTATACTGGTCAGGTGATTAGCCCGAATAACGTCACCTGACCCGCAAAGCCGGTATACCGGCCTTTAGGGTTATTGCAGTGCAAGCGCGCGGCCGTTTTTCCTGCCTTTCGGGTTCAAAGGGTTAAATAATTGAAAAATACCATCATATATTTAGTCATATGGTCACTATTCAGTGATTATTTGCTTTGAACTGGTGTTACATTTATCAAAGGTAAAAACATTGTGTAGTAATAATGAAAACTTACAGTAAAATGCTTATAAATGTAAATGGTAACAACAGGTGTAGATAAACAAATATTCAAATATTAAACAAAACTAAATGATTGATATATTGTTTGATTTGCAAATGTATGTATTTGAAAAATGTGTTTGGTTTGTATCTTATTAATTATTATTTGTTTTATCTGTTTCAGTAATTGAGATCGTAATTGTTTCACTATGTGAATACATATGGCAATCCATAGCTCATGAGATCAAGAATCTTTTTTTTAGTCCCAAAGCATAAAAATAAACAAAGTTAAATCAATATACTGTCTAGTAAAACTGGGGGTGCCTCTGATGACATGTCAGGATGACCCTCCACCCCCCCCCCCACATTTGTGTATACAAAAATACTCACAGGGCAATGTTTTAATAAGAGTAACTAAAAATACCTTTTATTATTTCTACTGTACTACAGCAGGAGTTCTAAATTCTTGTTAAAAGCGCTCTTCACACATACATTTTTTTTTGCTGCATGTGGTGACACCTTTCGACAGTTATTCTGAAAGAAAGTTGTTTTCCACTTGACGAATTCATTCGAGTGAACCAAAATTTTTTGCCTATAAGCATGCGCTGTTTAATATTCATCACAAAATTCCTGTCTCTTATACACATCTAGATGTGTATAAGAGACAGTCCATAGCTCATGAGATCAAGAATCTTTTTTTTAGTCCCAAAGCATAAAAATAAACAAAGTTAAATCAATATACTGTCTAGTAAAACTGGGGGTGCCTCTGATGACATGTCAGGATGCCCCTCCACCCCCCCCCCCCACATTTGTGTATACAAAAATACTCACAGGGCAATGTTTTAATAAGAGTAACTAAAAATACCTTTTATTATTTCTACTGTACTACAGCAGGAGTTCTAAATTCTTGTTAAAAGCGCTCTTCACACATACATTTTTTTTTGCTGCATGTGGTGACACCTTTCGACAGTTATTCTGAAAGAAAGTTGTTTTCCACTTGACGAATTCATTCGCGTGAACCAAAATTTTTTGCCTATAAGCATGCGCTGTTTAATATTCATCACGAGATTCTCAATTATGGGGACAAATTTTTGATTCGCGTGTATAAATTTGTCTAGTTTAAAATGGCTTTCAGGGAGACAGTTGATAATAATGTATTAAAAGAGTATTACTTGGTGTACTGCATATATCAACATACTGTATATATGATAATGTAGTTAAAAACATTCAAATGTCATGAATTTGCAAGAGATGGGTTAGTTTCTGTGAGGCTTTTTGCGGTAGAGGCCATTGCTAGTTTCCAGAAAAGACGTGTTCATCTGTTGCAGACTTGGAACTATCATTTAAAATATAGTCAAGTACTGTACAAAATTAAATTTCTCTCTTGCTAGGTTGCAGTACTTCTGATGGATACCCAAGGTGCCTTTGACACCGAGTCAACAGTGAAGGATTGTGCCACCGTCTTTGCTCTTAGCACTATGCTTAGCTCTGTACAGGTCAGACAAGTTTTTCCGATAATTTGTGAAAATGAACAATATAACAAAATCTAAACAAAATGTTTTCTGCATTTTGAAGATTTACAAAAGATTTTATTATTTCTAGAACTGTCTCAATATTTAATTGTCTAATATAATAAAATATCTAATAATCCAAAATTGTGTAGAGGTCAGCATGCTCATTAATTATTCATGTGACCTCCTTAGTAATGAATTAATAAGGTGCATTTAATGAAATGAGATTATAATGCTTAAATGCAGTATTGCTTGGAAGTGAGAAATTTGAATGATGATGATATTGCAGAATGACCTTTGAACTTGGTTGTATTGATTTAACCTTAACATTATGTATCTTGATCTGATGTGTTTCACACCACAGAAAACCAAGCAAGCAGCCAAAAATACAGTATGCTAACATTAATAATTAGTTGGAACTAATCAGTAAAAGCTCTAATTCAGATTAAATGCAATATTATTAATATATTATTATTATAATTATTATTATTATTATTTTCATTGTTACTATTTTATTATTTTCATTGTTACAGTACTATTATTTTATTATTTGAATAAACATTTTCCTATACATATCAGTGGTTGAGTCTAATAGACCTCATGAATAACTTTGCACGATTAGAATTCTAATAATGTGCACATCGTATGGTTAATCTCTTACTCAATAACCATTGAACATTGCATTGTGCCACGGCTATTGAGGCTAAATCAATATTGGTTGATCAATTAAATATGTACTACTAACCATTTCTTAACCACACCAAGAAGTACATATCATATTTAATGTCTTCATATGTTTACAACCTTTTCATACATATTCATTATCAATAAGTTATTTGTAGGTTTACAGCCAGAGTATCGATATACTTAATTTATTCACAGTTTTACAAACTCATAATAGATCTTTAATGTGTTTATAGGTGAATATGAATATTCATATACTTGTTAATACTATTAATTTATTCACCGTAGATAACCTCAGCTTGAATATTCATATACTTTATAGTTTTATGAATATTCTTCACTTTATTCATAGGTTTACAACTTGAGCATGAATATTCAAGAGGATGATCTTCAGCATCTTCAACTGTTCACAGAGTATGGAAGACTTGCAATGGAAGACAACGATTTTAAACCATTTCAGGTAAATCTCTTAGACAACATCATTGTATGTATTGTAGTCAAACTATGAAGTAATAATAGTTGAAAATGTACAGCTTACAATTGAAAGTAAAATGATTTATTTTTTCCATTTGTTGAATGGATGTGAAATAATGCATAAAAATGCTTTCCACTGGCATCAGTATCCAAAGTAGTGATAGAAAAATATAGTGTATATATACGGTATTGCATAAAAACTTGGAAAATGCTTAATGTGTCGAAGGTAATTTTAAGGCAATATGTTTTTTTTTAATTATTTTATTATTTCATATTTCTTTAGAACATTTACAATTAACAGTATAAAACCACTTTCAGACAGAGTTATGTTACCGCAATAGTGCGGGAATGTTCCCTGCATTGCTTTCTGTATGAAATCGAATTAGCTCATGTGCACTATAAAGAATCCAGTACATCTTTCGAGACAAGTAGAGGGTTATCCCGATGTACTGCCCCTGTCATGTACAAAGTAGCTGGTACCAAGAAGAAAGATACCGTATAAGCCATCTAGTCCACGTTTCGAGTGCTTTGATCTTCTTGAAATAGTGCTATATAAGTGCTGTAATGTATGTAAATGATCAGACCAAACCGTAACCGCAATATTACCTGCCGTGTTATCCCAATATTACTTTATGCAGTCAAAAAAATGACGATGAATTTGATAAATGAGGTGGTAGGTCTGTCTGAAAGTGGCTTAATAGTGCCTTAACTAACAGGCCTCAAATTTTACCTAGGCCATTGCCCGCGGTGCCCTCCCAGTTGGCCTTGGTGCCCCTGAAAATGAAGCACGACGAGGCCACTACTTGCCTGCCCTTTTGAAGCCTTGGCCTCGGTGCCCTCACGATGCTTAAGATCGTTTGACATGTAAAATAAATCTAAGTAAGAACGTCTAAATCTTGAAAGGAAACACGAAAGCCAAAAACGTAGTTCGCCTAAGCTAGCCTAGGCCAGGTTGCAGTGACAGAACATGAGAGAATTTCCATGTGTGTTAATACGTTTTTGCGGTTACCATTGTGTGCGCATGCGTCTTACTCGAGCAGTTATTACAATAAACATGGGCTTATTTGACTGGTTCATTTTGTTGGAACGAATTTTTGTTGAGTATTATTTTCATTCGACTGGTTCATTAAATCATGGCTCCATGGTTAAGTAGACTTCGTTGACAACGAAAATTAACGTAAACCAGAGTGCGTTTTTAATCAGCGTTAAGTTATCCACGTGACCAAAGAGAAACATGGCCGATTGGTGAGTTTATAAACAACATTTGCATTAATATAACTTAGATTAAATTTCATAAAATAATCATTATAATATTTACCCACATGGAGTCAAAAAATAATTGTAGGCAAACAGAATAGAAAAACTGGATGAAAATATTTTTTTACGAAAAACCCATACTACCACAAGTTGAAGCAATCTTGATTACACAACGTGTATCGCGGTAACTATACAGCCATTTTGTTTTGTCGAGTATTTATAAGTTTTTTATTCGACTGTTCGTCTTCGTTGAGTAGGACGTTACCGCGCTGTGCGCAGGTAGGTGTGGTTTAACGAAGAACGACCAGTCGAATACGGCCTATGTACTGTTAGTTGTAAACATGTGCTTGCTGCACAGCTAACTTTGGGCGATCTTACGTCATCGCAGCTTAAGCGTGTGAAATAACGTAATTGGTTGACACTCGGCTAATTTAGTTCATGACGGCCAGTTTAGAGTTGTGGCTTTCTCTCCGATGACGACGCACTGAGCAACAACACAAAGATATAGAACTTCTTGAAATTTGACTGTTAATTAATACTGACTAATAGTTAATACTCTAAACAAAGTCATTACCATTGACAACTATGGCTTGGCTAGGCCTAGCTTGCCTAGCCTGGCTACGACGAATCAAGGCGCTCGCGACAAATTAGTACTGAGGCTAAATCAAATTTTGCCTTGGGTGCCCTTTTATATTTGAAATTTTGGCCTTGGTGCCTTTCCATTTGGCCTTGGTGCCTTTCAAAATCATGTCACACTGGAGGCCATTTGCCCTTGCCCATAAAATCCCCAAATTCAAGGCATGAACTAATACAAAAATAATTATAATTGTGTGTTCTGTGTACCTAGAATTTGATGTTCCTCGTTCGAGACTGGAGCTATCCATACGAAGCAGAGTATGGACTTACAGGTGGTCAACAAATTCTTGATAAGCGTTTACAGGTATGAGCTTTGACATACTGTTATAATAATAAATTGTACTCTGGAGAAAATTTGGAATATTTTTCAGTCATCTGTATTGAATATGTCTACAAGTTTGTCTTTTTTGAAACCAATACTATCTCAGGGGTTAGCCTCTTTAATTAAAAAAAATCATTTAATTATTGTCATATTATCATTACACTTTTTTTTAAGAATCTTGATTTATAAATAAATCGTCTTCTATTATTATCTTTTTATTTTTATTTTGTAGTTATTATTGTTCTTTCTTTGTAGGGCATCAAAACTTAAAGCTTGCTTGTAATTGATGCCTTTTCAATCAATCTTTGAATTACTAGGAATTGTAAAAAAAAATATATGATAAAGGAATTTGATTGAATAACAATTTATTGTGAATTTAATTAAAGCTCTATTGTGCCAATTTTTGCAAATGTTATTAAGATTATATGTAGCAAAGTCAAGCCAAACCAGTCACTCCTCGCAAAAAATGAATTTTTAATTATTAACACTTGGTTAAACTGTAAAGTGAAAGTTACAGTATAAAATGGTAAAACAATCATTCAAATCTGTCATTTTGTTATGAAGTTACAAGTGTTTAAACATAAAGCTGTTTAAAGAACGATATTTGAGAAAACAGCCTTCAAAGTTTACTATTTCACATATTTCTGAGGCAGAGACCACCACGAAATTGTAAAAAAAAATGTTGTTTTAATGAAAATGGGGAAAATAAACAGCATAGCATGGTGTATAAATATATGAAATTTAGTGCAATAAAGAAGATTTCGAAAATTTTGACATTCCAACATGTTTTGGCCATTATTTATTTACGATTTGTGAGGAGCGATTGGTTTGGCTTGTCTTTGCCACATACAGGTCTCCTTCTAATTAAAGAACCCTACAATTAAAGACCACCTCTATTAAGGACCACTTTTCTGTTGTCCAAAATTAACAAATGTAATTTATCTTTATTCTTCTAATTAGAGAACAAAGCTGCTAAAGACCATGGGAACCCATGTCCCAAAAGTGGTCTTTAATTGGAGAAAGACCATTATTTTGATATGAATTATGAGAAACTCACTAGTGATGATCAAACCTAGTGTTTTGGAATTGAGAAGCAAACACCTAAATCATTAATATTCTATTCATCAGATTTTTAGTATACGGTACAATTGAACCATATCTCTGTCTTGCAGATCAAAGAAAATCAACACAAAGAACTAGAGACAGTAAGAAAACATATAAAAGATTTGTTTAAGGAAGTTCAGTGTTTTCTTATGCCTCATCCTGGGCTTAAAGTTGCTAGTAATCCTAAATTTGATGGTCGTTTAAGAGGTATGAATATATAATTCCCTTTCAACAATCTACTTTGTGTCTGCATATTAAAGGCTATTATAATAGGCTGTGGGTAGTGATTTTCGACAGCAGGTGGTAGCAGATAGGTTTGTTAATTTATCAGTAATTTGAAATATGATTACAGTAACATCTTCCAAACTATGTACCCCTCTGTTCGAACAGAGTTTGCAATGGAGAAAATTTGTAATTGGGAGAGTTCAAATATTCATACAAACTCAGTGGTGAGGGTAAGCCTGTGCTACACAGTATACAGGGCTAAGTAGGCCTAAGTCTTGCCATGCAGGAAATTTTTGTCACAAAATATGACTTGAGTATTCCTCTTTTCTGCAACAAAGTAATGCCGTACATAAGCCAAAGTTATCTGTTCTCACTGTGAAGTATTCAATTTAGGTAATTTCCGGGTGAAGTCATGACAAGTGTTAGTGTTATTTTCTTCATAACGATCGCAAATCCATTGGAATAGCGCCCCCAATGAACAAAAATTGAGATTCTCTACTCATTCTGTACAGTAGCTGCCTGAACAAGCATGCACATATCAAAATTATGTCTGCTGAAAAAGATTGATAATTCTTGATTTAAATTTGATTTTTGCTCTAAAAGATTTACATCAGTTTGTTGGATTGAAAGTTTTTCTTTCTTAGTAATGTAACATTTTGATATTATTTTGAAGAATTTTGAATACAATTTTAAGTGTTTTTGTAGTTATAAAAGATGGTTTATAATGGCATCACCGCCGCAAATTGAGTTAATAAAATCGAGAGTTGGTAATTGGGAGGTTCGATACTGTATTGTGCTAAAGATGGAAAATAATGACATTTTATAATGTAAATTATTGCTGTGAACGAAACATGAACTAATATTTTTCAGTAAATTATAATATAGAAAGGGAACAAAAATCATGAGGAACCTTACAGTTTAAAGTTTGGATATTTAAACATTTAAATTTCTTACTTTGTGTAATGAAGGAAGTTATTGTTTAGTTCTCATAATTTTCTTTGAGAAACTTCAAAAGTTTTTTTTTTTTTGTTTTTGTTTGACAGATATATCAGATGATTTTCGCGATGAATTAAAAGTTCTAGCACCTCACCTTCTCTCTAGTGCAAACTTAGCTGTAAAGGAGATTAATGGGGATATGGTTAAATGTGCTGATCTGGTTGAATACTTTAAGGTAAGTGGTGGATCTTATATCATCATCATCATTACTTATATCACCATCATAATCATCATCATCACTAATTCGATCATGACAATTGTTATCAACATTGTCATTACCATTGTAGTCATCATCATTATCGTCTTCACAATCATGATGATCATCATCATCGTCATCAACATCATCATCGTCATCAACGTCATCATCATCGTCTTGATCATTAGTGTCATTGTCATCCTGGTCATTGTTATAGTCATTGTCATTGTCATCAACATAATCATCATCATCGTCATCTTCATTACTGTCATCATCATTACTGGCATTATCATTTTCACCTGTTCGTGTATTTCTAATTTTCATTTTATTTCACTCCACATTTTCTTTTTAGTCCTAATAATTAAATTATTTGTTTAATTTACTGTCCATTTAGTGTCTGAGTAAAGCTTGCGTAAAAACAAAACATGAACTTAATCACTTACCATAGCAATACTAATCTAATTATTGTTACAATAAATTATTTTACATTAAAGAAATACAATATTAGTTACAAATGATGTGGGTTACTGCAACATTTTTTTCATGTGTGACTGAGCTAGATGATCTTACTGAAAAGCCTGTTCATCCTGTAGTTAATCAGCAAGAGATTAAATTATTATTATTATTTTTATGATGATTGTTAACAGGCATATATCAAGATTTATCAGGGAGACGAATTACCTGAACCAATGTCCATGCTGACGGTACGGTACAATTTCTATTGATTTCATAGGCTTAAACTTTTTGACTGCTCAATAATACCCAATTCATACAAAATAGAATTTACACAGGACAATTAGTGAGTGTTGCAAATGCTTCCCAAGATATTCATACCAAAATCACTGTTGTTTTAGCACAACTGAATTTAAACAATCTAAATAGTAGTTATAATCGATACACAGACTGGGATGATACGTGCAATGTGATGGTGATAGATCACTTGCACCGCATGAGCATGAAAATAGGTCCGGGCTAAATATTTTTGTGTTAACAGGCTTCAATAATGTCTGTTTTTATAGATATTACACAGAGAGCTAACTCTACACCTTAAAGTGGATTTGATGCAGTAGAAAACATTTTAAAAATTTTTTTTTCTTGCACTTGTCCCAGAGAGTATATATACAGTATATATAGGAAATATTAAATTTATGTGTGAGATTTTTGTCCTTAAGCGTGACAGCATGAGATATACCCTGGTTGTCTGAGTCTCGCGCTGAATATGTGAGACTTGGTAATTCTAATGTTGTAAAAAATTCTACATAGACGAAAATTTACTTGTAAATACCTATGGTTTTTCATGTGTTTGTGATTCTGTTACCTAGGCAACAGCTGAGGCTAATAATTTATCAGCAGTTGCAAAAGCAAAAGCAGATTATATACAACAAATGGAAGAGGTGAGTAGTGGTTTAATTCAATTCATAAATTTTGAAAGCAATTATTTAGTTGATATCCAGTTAAATGTTGAGTTATTAAGAGTAGCTGTTACTCAGATAAAACTGGTGGTAACAATTATGCAGTGGAGATCTTTACATAACACTGTTCTGCAGTTCAGTTCTTTTTACTGCTCTGCTATTGTTTCAGCTGGGTGGGTGGGGGCTGAAATGTAAGTTTGAAAAGAATACATTCAAAGGAGGTCCAGGTTATTGGAAAATCAATAATTCCTATCTCTTTAACCGAAAGGTCCACTGATTAATCTCAGATAAGAAAGTATAATACATACTCCAAGTATTGAAATACATGCCATCGTGTTGGGATTCAATATTTCGACATTAATTATGTCATCATCAGGAATGATTCCTGGATGACATAATTAATGTCGAAATATTGAATCCCAACACGATGGCATGTATTTCAATACTTGGAGTATGTATTATACTTTCCTATCTCTTTGATAAGCAACTTCAAGAAAATATTATGCATATCATCAGAGAGTGTGAACATCTCGATGTACACCTATCGCATAGAATCACTTGGGATATTTGTAAGAACAAAATAGAAGTTATATTAAAGATTTTTCTAAACAAAGAGCAAGAAAAAGTAAAGACAGTCAATGTTCTGTCCTATTGTTAACATACAACTAAAAAACAAAATTAAAGAACATGAAATTGCGTTAGAAAATAAAGCAAAGGGAACACAAATTCGCGCTAGGTACGAGTGGGTCGAAAAGGGTGAAAAAAATACAAAATATGTTTTGGTATTGAAAAACACAAAAGTGAAAAAAAAAATGATGAACAGTGTTATCGATAAGGATGGAAGAGAATTGCATGATGATGATGACATAATTAACGAACAAGCGAAATACTATAAATCCATGTATAGCACAGCTTCCACATACGAAGTAATATCGGAGCAGCTCGATAATTTTATCCAAGACATTCAAGTACCTACAATTAGTAAGGATTTTGCAGAACAGTGTGAAGGGAGATTTACAATTAATGAATGTAAAAAAGCCCTAGATGACATGGCCCTAAATAAGAGCCCTGGAATCGATGGCCTATCCGTGGAAGTTATCTGGGATGAATTAATCAACTTACTTGTAAACAGTCTCAATGAGGCAAATGACTATGGTGAGCTATCACAAACCCAATCAAGGGGGTCATTGTCCAAATTTTTAAGGGTAAAGGGGACAGTAGAGATTGTAAAAACTGGTGCCCTTTGACTACTTAATATAGACTATAAAATTGCAGCCAAAACACTGGCCAATAGACTTCAATACGGTATTAGCGATATAATTAGCACAGATAAAAAAAGTTTTATGAAAGGACGATATATTGGTGAAAATATTTGTACAATTGAGGACGTTATTCGGGCAACCCTGCAAAAAATATTCCCGGTGCTGCAATCTTTTTGGATTTCAGCAAAGCATTTGACACCATAGATAGAAACTTCATCATAAAAGCACTACAGACATTTAACTTCGGTCCAACTTTTATTTTGTGGGTTTCAACGTTATTTAAGAGTACAAAAAGTTGTATTAATCACAGCGGTTGGTTATCCGAAATTCATTGAACTCCATTCCGGTGTTCGACAAGGATGCCCTCTAGCCCCTATCTTTTCAATATTGGGGCTGAAATTCTATCATTAAAGATTAAATTAAGTAATGATGTAAAAGGAATCAAGCTTCCACACACAAATTTTCCGATTAATGAAATCAAAATTACTAGCTATGCAGATGACAATACTTTATTACTCGGAGATGATGCATCCATTGCAAAAGTGTTCACAATTATTGACAACATCGCTCAACTTTCAAGTTTGCAATAAAATAAGAATAAAACAGAAGGCCTTTGGTTGGGTAGCAACGTAAATAGAAAAGGCAACATCGAAGGCATCAATTGGAAAAAAAGATGGGAAATCAAAAGCATTGGGCATTATATATTCAAACACAGTACTGGCTGAAAATATCAACAAAAATTGGAGCAAGCGAATAGAAAAACTTCAAAACATTATTTTTCAATGGGATAAGAGACACCTTTCCTTGAAAGGTAAAATAGTTTAATCTCCCAAATTAATTTTTCCAATAATGGTACTCGATGTCACAAAATGGGCTATTATATCTTTGGAAACAATAATTTTAAATTCCTTTGGGGAAAAAAGGAAAGAGTTAAACGGACAACCGTTATTGGGAATAAACAAAAAAGAGGGTTAGATATGGTTCATTTACCCACGATTATAGCTACTTTTAAAATCAAGTGGATCAAACAAATACTAAAGTGATGAAATAGCAGCATGGAAAAAACAGCCCACTGTCAGTGTTAGAGTTTCTTAAATTCAATTGCTCTGCAATTCAACTCAATACAAATGATTATTATGTTAAATGCCTATTATGTTGGTACGAACTAAAACCCCCAAGAATAGTGTTGGACATCAAGAATCCCGCAAATGAAATTATCTGGTGTAATTCCTGTATTGAATATAGAAACAAACAACTATATTTTAAAAATTGGGTAGATAACGATATCCTTTATATCAAAGATGTTTTTAACGAAAACAAAACATTACGATCTTTTAAACAACTTAAAGATAGATTTCAAAGAAAGGAATAATTTATGATGGAATATTTTATGATTTTTAAAGCAATACCAAAACAATTGGTTTAATGCAAATTTTATTCAAACGAGTGACCCGAGCACCACTCATCCCGGTCTGTACTTAATGAATGAATCCATTTCAATAGATTCATTACAAATTGCTTAATAAAAAATGAACTCATCCAAAAGTATTTTAAAACACCAAGTTGTCAATGTAATTGGGAACACCGTTTTAATTACTATGGTTTCAACTGGGATGATATCTGGAACAATCTATGCTCAGTTTCCAACTACCCAAGGGTATTCTCGACAAACTGGAAAATTTTAAATAATTGTTTCCCTACAAACATTCTACTTAAAAAAATGGGAATCACTGAAACACATTTTTGTAACTTCTGTAATGCTCAATTAATAGATAATATCGAACACTTTATATTTGTGCCCTCGTATTAATTGTATTTGGGACGAGCTGAAAGAAATTGTAACGAGAAAATGCAGGAAAAAAGTTTTTATTTAGATTTGCATCATGTTATGTTTGGTTACTTCTCAAGAAATTTTAACTGTTGTTACATTAATAAACTTATACTTTCAATTTTTTCAAAGTTTTCAATTTGTAGATTTAAACTCGGGGAAATACAACAACTCGAATTGAGTATTCCACAATGACTTGCTTATTAGAAATATACAATATATGTGAAGGTACAACCTAAAAAAAAAAAATAATAATAAATATAAAATGAAAAAATGACCTATTCATATAAGAATTGTAGGTGTTGACTTGATGACTGACAGGATATATTTTTCGATTAACATCATTGTGTTCAACTTGTATGTGGATGATGGGCAGAGAAATTGATAATTTGTTTTGTTGTTCGGTTAATTTATTTTTCGTTTGATTGTTTGATGTATTTTTGTTATTGATTGCTTGATATATAGATCGCTTACATTACTGATGTATTGATTGATTGATCGATCGATTGAGGGATAAGCATTAAAATATATCAAGCTCATGTCCTTTTATATATATATATATATAAAAAAATAAAAAAAACTTATTCATTGATATTTGAGTAATTAACCATTCAAAGTTTCATGTCTTAATTTGAGTTGAATGTATCAAATTTTTGATTGATTTATGATTGTTTAATTGTTAGATTGATTGAAAAAATGATGAAACACCGAAAATAATGAAAAAAGGTATATAAAAATGGTAGGAACTACAAATAAGAGAGAGAAAAAAAAAAAGAAATCAAATATATAATTGGCTTAGACTAAGTTTGACAAAGAAATGATGATTATGAATTCATGTTGAAGATGAAGATAAATAAAAGTGGTGTTTTACCACACAAGAAAAAAAAAAAGTTTGAAAACAATGCAGTACACTCTTCAAAAAGGAGCAGCAGATTGTTCCTGTGTTCTGCCCAATCCATTCAATTTAATAGGAATGATGTTTTTGCCCTCATGAAATGTTATTGTATTGAATGCTCCGAACATTCTCAACTACTTGGGAATATAATCTTGTAAAGCTGCATTTACACTAGACACTATAATGACACGACAACGGCATATCATTGTATTGTTTATATTCTTCAGCACTGAGTGCATTTTTATAGTGTTGTTGTGTTGTTGTGGTGTCTAGTGTAAATGTAGCTTTAGTCATTAGTGTTTTTGTGTCTACTGCCCCTTTGAGGGAAGTAAACACTTTGCTATTGTCCGGAAATTTACTTGTAAGAATAAATCCGGTTGAGGTGCATGGTGGGATTTTGCATCATAAGCTAAAGAATGAAAATAAACAGTTTTCCAAAATATGCCTATGAAATATGATGCCATATGCCTAGATGAAGACCTGTCCTGGAAGGAACTGAAAAAGTCAACAATCTGTTACTTGTTATTTAAGTGAATTGCCAACACAGAAAGCATGGATGAGCTATGAGTTAAAAGTAGCCACAAAAAAAAAAGAAACTTTAGTCAAGCAGCAGACACACAGTCCCACTGAGAGCCTATTTTAATTATATATTTCAATGTTTGTATATTTGTACTTTTAATTGCAATGATAGATTAATGTTATGATATTCTGGTTGGTTTTGTTAATTCAAAGGATTGTTATGGGTTTACCTATTTGTGAAGCATTTTGGTAACCATAGAAATGCACTTTATAAATCATAATACAGTATTATATTATTATTTGTTACCCCCATATCAAGCTTGAATTTCAAGCTGTGCATAGGGTGAATGAGATTAATATATTAAAGAAATCTAATTATAGACTATTTTTTTAAATTTTAGATATGTGGAGGTGACAAGCCCTATCTCAATCCAGTCGACCTTGAGAAACGACATGCAAATGTAAAAGACATCGTGTTGGAGCGGTTTTGGGCCATTCCTAAAATGGGCGGAAAATCATTTACTGAACCATTTGCTGACCAATTAGAGTTGGAAATAATGGAACATTTCGACCAATATGTAAAACACAATGACAGCAAGAATTTATTCAATATTGCTCGTACACCCATCACGCTTCTCATCGTGATGATCATTATGTATATTTCGTCAGCTGTCTTTGGAATTTTTGGTATATATTCGCTATCAAATATGGCCAATTTGATACTTGGACTGTCTCTGCTTCTGATATGCGCATGGGGTTATGTAAAGTACTCAGGAACGTATCCTAATGTCGGAGTTCAAATTGACGGAATTGCCGAAAAGATTTGGGTCCAGGTGAGTGACGCATACATAATGATGCCATTAATTTTTGAAATATATTGTGTTGACAGGCCCATAGCCCTGATGGCTGTTAAGCCAAATTTACACTAGACACGATAGAAATGCGCTCATATGCGATGGTATACATTATCGTGTCGTTATCGGATGGTGTAAATGTAACTTTAGGGTCTGGCTGTTCTCACCTTTTTCAAATGAACTTCCTCTGATAAACCAAGCTATATAATTGCCATGAAGTCCACCGTTCACATGCTAGAATGCTTCAGTCTGCAATCCCCATAAGAGCCCTTCCTGTGTAATTTACCTGGGCCGGGGCTCCCCTGGACCTTGACCTCTCATATGAAAGCCCATTAAAATTTGTAATGTAATGTAGTTTGATTTATATATTGCCTTATACCAAAGTCTTAGAGCACTCAAGGTGTGGACTAGATCGTACAATATCTTGCTGTTTCCCCTAAGGGTCTTTTCATGTCTGACCTACCCGGTAAACTGGAACCAGCTATCTCCCATCTGTCCACAACAGGGACTGTATGTTGTGTTTTATATTTTCAAATATTTTTAGACAATGTTCAGCATGTACACTCAGCCAAAGTTTCGAACATGTTTTTATATGCGTGTTTTTCCTATAAATCAAAATTGAAATTGAATTGAATTGTATTAAGCAGTACACTGGTGTAACCATTACTCATCTTAGATAGATGTACAGGGTACTAGGCAAAATTAAATAGTAAAATTATTTTTAAATCATCATTCCATTATCAGTGACATCTTTTCTTACAACCATTGTAAACTTGCATATATTAATTTTTTTTTTTTATTAAAAGTTTGTGTTGATTTTTTTCTCAGATTCTTGGACCAATGTACAAAAAGGCAAGAGGTTCTGGCAGAGAAGAGAAGAGAGATTAGATTTAAAAGATATTACACACACACAAAAAAAATAAAAGCAAACAAAAAAAATACAAGCCTTTTTATTGAATTATGAAGCAGCTCATAACCATCATTCAATTTTTATATAGTGTGAATTAAAAAAATAACTATAGATCTGAAAATATAATATGAATGGAATAATACTTAATAAATTGAAATCCCATGTATCCCATAATAGGTTCCATTTTTGTTGAGGAATGGGGGGATTTGGTATTATTGGTAACTTTTTAACTGCTGTAAGCTACCACTATTGGATTTTACTTCAACACAAGTTCACCATTTGATACAGGTCTCCCTAAGACCTATCCAATTAACGATCACCACTAAATCAAGACCACTTTTTTTGGGTCCCAAAGCAAAAAATATCTTTCATCTTCATTATTCTAGTTAGAGACCAATGGTGCTTTAAAAGACCATGAAAACCCTGGTTTCATGTGTGGTCTTTAATTAGAGGGAGACCTGTGTACTGAATTCTGTTGTACTGTATGTTTATATTATATTTATAAATATTCACAAATATTTAAATAATAATTTAAAAATCATAATAGAATAAATATGCACAATTATGAAATTCTTTTTTGATAACAATTAAATCTGATAACTTGCAAAAATAATGAAAGTTTTGTGGGTTGTTTTTAAAAGAATAATCTTAAAAATTACTGGGTTTTGTTTTTACTTTTGTTTTTCGGCCTACTTTTTGTCCATGCTCCATGCTACAGTAGACTTTGAAGGCGTTCAACCTGAATAGCCATAGTGTGCTTGATTTGAGCGTAAGTGTGACAATGACGAAGTGTAACGATGCATATGATTTTCAAGGCTGTCTCTGCCGATGTTATTATTCACCGATGTATTCAAATGATCATGAATGAGACTGCTCATAGGGTAAGAAATTGAGATTTTTGCCAGCTACATTGTGTTATTGTGAAAACATAACTGTGAAATTACAATTCTCCTCTGAAGCAAGATAAAATGCAAAATCATCTTGGGTTGTACTCAGTGTAGAATCTGTAGCATGGTGTTGAAAATAATTACATGGATGTAGATTCAAATCCTGTAAAAACAATTTTTATTTTTAACTAAAATAATATCTCCCTTATAGGCCTCATAATTGATTATGTTTCTAGAGCATTACTATAGTTAAGTCCCATCGATTATATTTATCACTAAGCACCTTTATACCAGTACACATATAGCAAAAATATATAAGATATTGTAATTCTCAAAATTGATATTGCAGCTGGATGGGTTTTTTTTTTAATTGTTTGATACAATACTTAATGTCAGCTTGTTCACTGTTTTGAAATTGAAGAATGGACAAGTAAGCCTTGTGGAAGCACATATAATATATTGAGTATCCCAGAAACCAAATGAATTTGCATGTTGGGCATGCTAGACCCAAAGACCAATAATAATAAATGCACTTATTACTTTCTTTGATTTTGAAATACCAAACTTCATTATTATATGGTCTGGATATAGATATTGTTATGAAAAATATATTTTAATCTGTATTATAATCACAATTTTCTCATTTTTCTTTTATTTTGTCGTCTTAAATGCAAGAACAATTAATTATATTTTAGTAGTTGTAGCTTCTGCAAATACGCTTGTCCATGAATGTCCTTTTATTTTTGTCCAGACTCTATTTCCTATTTTAAAGAAATAATGTCCACTAAAATATTTTCAAAGACAAATACTAATGATTAAAATAACTTATAACTTTTTGTAAATTATTATTTCAATAGAGGAAAATATTTTTTTTTAAGACTAACGCTCTGTCCACACTATGTGCCCAATATGGGCATGAAGATGTCATGATTACACCTAAATGTCACATTTGTCACATACAATTTGAAAGTGTGGATGGACCTTAAGATGTTATCTTTGTTTTTGAATAGCGTAGTATGTTTTCAGAGATTAAAATAAATGTTAAATAAACAGAGATGTTTTACAGATTATACCCGTAGTGTTTCAGCTTCCTAAATATTAACCATGCTCTCTTTGTAAGCCCACATGCTGGTAGTGTATTCACATTTACATTTCACTTGGTGGTTCATTTGTTTTTGTGCAGACAGTATCTGTAATGAGAATAAGAATATTTGAAATGGTCTTTAGTAGGATCATATAATAGTCAGGGGTGGTGCCACAGGAGGGCTGGCCCATGTTGGGAATCAAAAATATAATCAGTTGGGGATGAAAAAAAAAGATGTTTTTTTTACATGTTAGTAAACTCTAAAATTGATTAAATAAGCCTGTGAAACCTCTAATATTATTATAGTTTTAGCAGGTTCACCCCTGGACCACTTCAGAAAGATTTTGACCAACGCCCACCCCACACAACTTGCGCTTCTGTCTTGGGCATCAGTCAGGCAAATACTGGTGCCATCCATGATAATAATATACATTTTTTTGTGGTCAATCCGTAATACCTACAACACAATATTTATAATATGTAGTTACTGGTAAGTTAATACTACTTTCGGCAACCGCTGAATGATGCCAACAAAAACAACTTTAAGAGTGAATGATAGAAATGTTCAACTTGGTAGATATACTTAAAAGATGTGACATCCGAGTTTAACCATGTAAAAATATTTTCCTCAGTTGTATAGGTTAGGGAGATGACTGTAAATAATAACTTAACAACCCAGTGAAGAAGAGTTAAATTTTTTTGTCATATAGAAGCATGCTTGAGGTAAAGAATGATAAGTGTGAATGGTCAGACCAAATTCGATTTTTGGTGGTTGGTTTGATGTGATTTGAAGCTCAGCTTGTTAAATAAATTGAAACAAGTCAATGTGTTTTTTAAAATTCTTATTATTGTGTAGAAGAGTTGATAAGAATATTTGTAACATGACAAATGCCAAAGCTCTTTGCACACTACAACATTTTATGTGACAATTTCATGTGGTCTGACATATACTGTAATACAGGCAGCTAGGTGCCTGTACAGAAGAGTTGATATGTATCATTGAAACAATGACATAAGCTCTGTTCGCACTACCATGTTTTATGTCACAATTTCATGTGGTCTGACATAATACAGGCAGTTGTCTGCACAGAAGAGTTACTATGGATAATTGAAACAATGACTTCTAAAGCTTTGTTCACACCACCATGTTTTCAAGTGTGAAAATTTTATGTGATCTGACATATAATAGGGGCAGTTGTCTGTACAGGAGAGTTAATGTCATTTAAAAACAATGACTTCTAAAGCTCTGTTTACACTACCACGTTTATGTGACAATTTCATGTGTTCTGACATCATATGATACAGGCAGTTGTCTGTACAGAAGAGTTGATATGTATCATTGAAACAATGACTCCAAAAGCTCCGTTCACACTACTACATTTTATGTGACAATTTCATCTGGTCTGATATAATACAGGCAGTTGTCTGTACAGATGAGTTGATATGTATCCTTGAAACAATGACTTCTAATGCTCTATTCGCAGAAGATTGATTTGATATATATATATCATTAAAACAATGCCTTCTAATGCTTTGTTCGCTACCGAGTTTTATTGTGAAAATTTCATGTTGTTTAACATATTTGCCTGTAGAGAAGATTCGACATAACCATTTGAACAGTGATTAAAGCTTTGTTCACACTACCACATTTTATGTGACAATTTCATGCGGTGTGACATCATAAAATATTAGTTGGATTTCTACAGAGTGATGCACACCAAAGATAACCCACAGAATCACTGTATTTCTGGTGGGGTCCTTCTGATGGTGAATTGGGGTACACTGGGAGACAATTGCTTAGGCCTACTCTTTTCTGAAGAGTGTACGCGTTCAATGGAAATGTCTCATCAAAAGCGGTCTTCACTTTCGGAACTTGTATTTTAGCTCTTCAGCTGAAACCCAAGGAGGTCAGCGATAGGAATTTGATCGGGGACCAAGACATTGCACGGTTGTTCAGCGCAAGTTTAGTAGACTGAGCAAGCTGCTCTCACACATCACACTAACTGTACCAAGTTTTATGTGACAATTATATAATATAGGCAGTTGCCTATGGTAGAGCAGCAGAGCCGATATTAAAACAATGTTATGATATATATCCATCATGTCTATAGGCCTACAGTATGGGTAAATTTTGCATATTTGTCACATGTGAACAGAGCTAGCCTAAAAATTGTATACTGCTTCACGTTAACATACTAATATCTGTTGCATACGAATTGTCAAAGACATGCATTGCAGTACCCTAACAACCAGTTTGAAAGGCCTACATTAAATTAATTACCGTCTGCGTTTTAGTGTTTGAAGTCATGGCTCCGGAGGAATTTTTTTTTTTTTTTTTTTGATATGTAGCACAACAAATTTTTTTTAAAGACAAAACAAGGCTATATTTGATGAAAAACTCGAGATGGTTAATAAGTAAAAGTGAGGAGTTTTTTAATATGTTTTTCGTCAACATTTTGCGTCTTAGAAAAATCGTCCGCAAAGTCGGATCACTACATGTGATGGCGTTCAGCGCTTTGAAAACATTGGTCCACTCAGTTCGCGTCCTGTGAACAGCATAGGCCTACAAGGTTATCCTAATCAATACATGCTAAGTAAGGGGGATTTTTTTTTTTTTTTTTTTGGCATAGGGCCTACTCATTGATTATGACAACAGTTACAATATTTAATGAATCATATTACAGTGGCGGCGCCCAGTGCCGGATTAAGCATCGTCTGGCCTCAAGGCACATTTTGGAAATGGCCCAAAAATGTTAATTGAATCGACCCCATGGTAATAATTACGAAATGTAAAAACCCCAGCTACCGTGATTACAAAATCTTTCGTGTCGGAGAGAAGCGTTACTCTGATCTGCCACAACTCTAACAGTAGAAAGTCTAATAATACCGGAAAATAGAGTGTAAATAATATTGCAGTCCAACTTTTGATGGCCCATCATTTTCACCTGGCCCACAAGGCTTGTGCCTTATTTGCCTAATGGTTAATCCGGCACTGGCGGCGCCGGAAATTCCATACGAACTCCAAGCCCCGAGTTCCAGTGCGTAACCACCCATGTGCCCATCTTTTCCCTAAGTTTTTAAATTAACTCCCTTTTTGTGTCAATCAACATTTATTTTATTTATTTATTTTATTTTATTCAACTTCAACAGGCAATAAACAGAACATGTGAACAAGCACCTCTACAGGACCGCCTTAACACCGGAGTGAATAAATTGAAACTACAAATATAATTTTGCATAAGATTAAATCTAGGCCTATGCCCAATTTACAAATAAAAATTGAAATTAAGAAAATCAAATCATAATCTAATAACAGCCAGAACAGTGACAAAATTAAACTCAAGTACAGATAGGCCCCTAGGCATTATCAGGGGAAAAATAGATTTCAATTTAGAGTTGTAAAATTTAATCACTTTGTTTTTGAAAGATAGAAAATAAGAATCTGATCGATTTGCTAAAGGAAGATTATTCCAGATGGGCACTATTCGTGGAAAATAAAACGATTTAGGCCTATGGGATTTTGTTTTGCATCGACGGACAGATAACATTAAAAAATCAGACGAAAGTCCGGTGGCAGGAAGGCCTTTGAGGAATTAAAATGCACATAGTCATCAAAAGAGATATAAATTCCAAAAGGACTTTTTCCAAAAAAATAAAGAGATCTCTGATCTCACGCCTAAAAGATCGGTAACGTCAAGATGCATGAGGCGCGATTTATTATCAAGTTGGGATAGTTCAATATGAATTTGGTAGCACGTTTGTACCCTCAACTCCTTATGTTTCTCTTGGATATTCTGCTCCAAATAGAAGTATAGTACTCAAGGTTACTTCTTATTAATGATAAGAAGAGTGTTTGGAAACTTTACATGGAGCATCATAACCTATGGTTCCTTAATCATTCCAAGTTTTTATAATTGCATTTACCAATGATTTTATTAACATGACCATTCCAATCAAGGGTAGATGATATATCAACTCCAAGATCAGTGATAGAATCATTTTTTTTTTTTTGAGAGATATCATCCAATTTATAATCAAAATTAATTTTATTTTTGATCTTTCGAGTAATAGATATAATCTGACACTTTGAAATGTTAAAATGCAACCAAGTAGTACTCCATGAGTAGACAGAGTCAATGTCGTTTTGCAAGTTATTACAATCCGACATACTCTCGATTTTGTTGAAACACTTGGAATCACCAGAGAACATTGCCAGAGTCTGGAATGACAGAGCTGGGCAAGTCATTAATATATAAAAGAAACAAAAACGGCTCAAGTATGGACCCCTGAGGAACTCCGGAGACAACGGGAAGCCAATCTGAATTACACCCTTCTATAACCACCCTTTGATAACGATTGCTAAGATAAGAATTAAACCAACCCAATAAAATTGAATGAAAGCCAAAAGATTGTAATTTGTAAATAATAAGAAGTTATGAGATGCACTATCAAAGGCTTTAGAAAAAAACAAAAACATATCAACCTGCCCCGGAGCTTTGTCCAGCAGATGCCCTGAATAACCTGTAAAAATGATTTTTAAAGCAGTGTTTCATGATGAAATGATTGGCTCCTTCCACCACTAGGGTCCAGGACATTCCGTCTGGGGCTTGCGCCCTGGACCCCTGCCAGTAACGCCTCTGATATTAATAATACAGATTGAAATTTGTATAAGTTTTTGAAGAATGGAAAGTAGATTTCAGACTGTTGGTGGCGCGCTATAACCAATTCTGTTTACCAGAAATAAGGAAACAGTGGATCTCTACACAGGATGTTCTTTCACTACCACTATTTAATATAAATAAAAACAAGATATATCCATTAAATTTAAGATATATTCGTTTGGTCAGTAATAATACTATCAACAGAGATACAAAAATGAACGATTTCAAATAAATCATAGCGACTTTTTAGAGTTTTTAGGGCATAGTCAATGCCATGCAAAGACTCTTTCTGTATCACATGACTGTTATTGACCAATCATAAAGCTTGTTGTTTATGGGAACGGTGTAGGCTTTCATGGCCAGGGAAATAAACGTGAAAACATAGCAGTGGAATTTTGGCCCAGATATGCCTAACAAAACCAAGAAAGACAAGGTTTGTAAAACAGAATACTTTTAGGTGATTAGGTCCAACAGTATCGTTGATATGAGCTGCCAAATGTGCATGTCTAACTCGCTAAAATAGATTAAATTTGGAGGCGTTACGCCCGCGCCAAATGAGCCAGCCTCCTGAGTGAGTGCTTCGCTAAACTGCATCTTGACTGCAACACACCTCTAAAGTTTTGAGGTTTACATATATTACACGATTTATTCTAATATTTGCTATTTTAGGGCTCATCAAAAACTGCCAGTGGTGGCAAGAATAGTGGAAAAGATGCTCCAGAAAATTCCGATGACGTAAGTAATTTCCCCTTGTATTGTTGACCTTGCAAAAAAGGGTATTGCGGGCTTTGCGACCCCGTGTCCGGTTGGTTGGTGGGCTTAAAAAAGTAAGATGGCGACCTCCCTATTGTAAAATCTTAACTATGGTAGCCAACAAAAACAAACAAGTTAAGATCCATTTAAAATAAATGCTATGTCGAAGACATCACATATAATGTTAATGAAGGATGCATTGTATTTTACGAGATGATATGATAACTGTTAGCCCTAGGCCTAGATTAAGACCAAAATACAATGATGTGACTGATGACTGGAGCCAAGTTATGAATGCTTGGTGAAGGTTGGAGGATTTCAATACATTGTACTTTACGTTACAGACAGTGGCATTAGGCCTGTTAAATACAGATATATAATCTTGAGCTGATCATAATTTTGGACTTAAAATGAATAAGTTTGAATACATCAATTTGGACAGTAAAAGATTATTAAGTTCCTGTCATTCAGTGGATGCTGGCCAAAGCCTAGGCCCTAGCCTAAGCCTACCTAGGTTTGTCCTTTGACATTCAAGATGGCATATCATGCGATAAGAATCGATAATCTGCTCATGATTTGAATTTTGGATGGAAAGAATGATGTCAAAATTTGCTTTAAAAATTGTAATATTTTGAATTCAATATAAATTAATAAAGATGAAAATAAAATTATAATAAATAAAAATGAAAATTGAAGATTTATTATGATTTATTTATTAGATAAATAGCATTTTATTGCACTTGTTATTTGAAATTCCCATGAATGCTTTATATTTGAATTTCAGAAGAATTTATAATTTTTCAGCATCAGATTAGGGCAAATAGAAAAATCTATTAGATTATCACTCCTGGCCGCGTCAAAAATTCAGGGAAATATTGATGTGGGAATAAAAAAAAAATTTTTTTTGTCGCATCAATTATTTTAACAGCATAAAATAACAATGCAATTTTGTGACTTTAAATACATTTTCTTTAAAAAACTATAAAATTAATCCAGTTTTTATACAATATTTAGCAAGCAAAAGTAAAAAAAAAAAAAAAAACCACCCTCCCTCGTCAATTTAAAAAGAAAGAGTGATAATCTAATAATTTTTTCTATGTGCCCTTAAATGAATCTTGGATGGAATGGAGTTTCATGCTTACAAGCTGCTATGCAACTGAGCACTTACTTGTGAAAATGTACAACCTTTAAGAATGAATAACCTGCTACTGTATGATTTAAGTATCTATTTTAACTAAATAATAGAGTACTGTAGCTAGCTCAGTCGGCTAAACTAGTGGTAGCCACTGTTTATGCGCTGAACCGTGGAGACCTCTTGGTTCCCAGTTATAGTCCCATCACTGCTCTCCTTGTTTTTCAGCTGGAGGGCTGAAATGCAAGTTAAAAAAAAAAAGCACACCGTCACTCGGATGAGATGTTTAAGCCGTTGGTCCTGTGTGAAAAATAGCCCATGTGCACATTAATGAACGCAGTAGGCCTACACGGTTCGGAAAAGAGTGGGAGATTGTCTCCCAGTGTATTGCCCAATTCGCACCACCAGAAGGACCCCACTGGAAATATGTCTCCAGACTTTTGTGGGTTATCCTTGGTGCGAAGCGTATCACACCAAAGAAATCCAATCCAATATTGTTTAATAATGAGTGCACAGAAAAGAATAGGGATTATCTACCAGTGTACTAACCACATCAAGTCCTCTTGAGACATTCGTGGGCTAGCCTTACATTGAATGAATTCTATCCATCCGTGAAGAGAGAGAGCAATTTTTTTTCAAAACCAAACTTAATCCAATTGACACGTTTTATCATCATCAGTGTGACTATTAAGCCACAATCGCACTGGACTTTTTTTGGTAAAACTAACCAACACGTTGGCTAGTTTTACCATAATTAGTCCAGTGCGAACAGCACAGGAAGTTTACCTGACATGAAACTTACCCAAGCCGCGCGGTTAATTTACCCGAGTCCCGCTTGCCCAGGAAAACTGACCAGGTTAGTTTTACCTAGCAGGAAAGTCCAATGCGAACAGCGCGAGTCGGGTAAACTTCCCAAGTCATCACAGTGAATGACCTTCCTCAGGCTGTCAGGCAATTACGCATGAGCTGTGACCTGGAATAAAACGTCACACACAAACATCTTGATTAATTTCGCGCGTGTTTGCTAGTGTCTTGATTTTGAGTAATTTTGTCATTTTTTTCACTTGTTTACTCGGTTTGTTTCAATGGCCGATTTATATGGAGCATTAATAAATGTGCTAGGTCTTGGTGAGACAATCCATCACGATTATCAACAAATACAACATGATGTGGGCCTAGTCCAAAGAAACACTGTCACAAAAAGAAGGAGAACCGAGAGACAAGATATTTTCATTGGTGAGAAGTGTATGGAGTGAAGACTACAAGGCAATTTTTTTTCAAAACCAAACTTAATCCAATTGACACGTTTTATCATCATCAGTGTGACTGTTACTTTCATGTAATAAAAATTCTACCTTGTAATATGTTGGTGTGAAACCAATTGTTTCTGTCTAATGGACTACAGTTATGTAGTAATGTATATATTGACATAGGATGTTTCATTAAATTTGATTGGATTCCATGTTTGTTGTTAACTCATTAAAAAAAATTGGAAACAAAATTGGTAGCCTTACATTATACTGTAGTGAATCTTACAGGCCTACCATTGGGAGGAGGTCCTAAGAAAGTTGCTTAAAAGAATTGACCTTTGATGACCTTGTACCAAAGAAACATATCTTAGTAGTAATTTATTTCCCTAAAATGTCAAGGCATTTCCTGTGTCAGATCATTCATTTGTTTAGCAATATTTCCAGAGGGCGACCTATTCTACTTGAACTGATCGTAACCAGCCCTCAAGTTAAGTTCACTAAACATACAAATTGCTACGTCTTCCATAAAAACATAGAGAGAGCAAGATATATATCTGTAGGTTTTATTAACCTTTGGTGAATTATTGAGAACAGTGTCTATTAGAATTTTATACTAAAATTGATTTCATTTTTAATGCATTGCAGAAAGTTGAAATAATACAATACTGTACCTCATCATACTGTATAGTAAATGCTAAGAGAATTTCATTGGTCAATTTATTCCGTATTTGATACAGTATTTTGCTTTTTTTCCGTGTGCAATCATATTTACGCAGGCAAATAGAAAAAAAATCGTAAATCAAAATTGACTTTGATAGTTTGAAGTGGGCGTATGAAATTGTTGTTAAAGAAAAGTAAGTTAGAAACGCCTACTGTATATATGCTGCTGTTATTGGTAAATATTTATAATGTGATAGTATTAGTAAAAAAACATATAGTACCGCCACGAACTATTGCAATTTTACCTGTGCGCAGGCTTCGTAGATACATCGTAGCCTGATATACAGTAAACAATCTAAGCAAGGCTACGCGAAGCTAACCTACGAAGCAAAAGCATGTTGTTTATTTGTATGTGCAGAAAGACTGCTGTAGCTTACTGGAATAAACAATGTATTGCTTGATAATTTGTGAATGACAAGCTCGAGTTTAGACCGTTAATTTAAAGTATGGAGCTGTTTTTCAATAGGAAAAACATACATTTGTCTTCATGGGAGTCTCTTCCACTCGCTGTCCACGGCAGGAACTTGTTTTTATTGCTGTATTATTTTTTTAATTAATTAGCCTAGGTCTAGCTTCTTTTTTTATTTACAATTATTTTACCTCTTTTAAATGTCAAAAAATGATGTCCTCAATGACAATACACACATGTGAAAAGATTGTTCATCAAATAATATTTTGTAGTCTTGATTTAGTAAGATAAGTAATAAATGTAAAGGAGAATTAACGTCCGTTGGTTGTAAAATTACCGAATGTCACATCGAAAACCCAATGGAAAATAAAACTTAGCCAGCATCAGACGTCAGTGCGCGCCAATCAGAACACAGTAAAGTGTGTTAAAGGTTAACCTTGTGGCAAATGTTGAAAAGCTGTGAGCGACAGTGAGTAAAAAACGAAGTAAATGCGGTCTAGCATGACTAGCCTTAATTCGGCCAGGTAGTGATTTCTATACTTCCATTTAGTATTGGATCGCTTTGCAGGTTCTGCTTCAAATTACGGTAAACAATAAACAACGTGATCTGTAGAAATCGTAATAATTTGTACATGATTCCTCATCAGTATTATTTAAAAGAAGAAAATTCCTACTACCAGAACAATAATATCAGATCAAAATTTTCCTAATTGGAAAGTTTACCAGTGTAATTACTGTCTGCTCTCCTCCTCTATAGGGGAAAATGTAGGCAGTACGCCTAAATGACATTGAAATTTAAACATACTGAATGCCCACTAGGTTACCTAGCTAGCGAACTAAACACAGTTTTAAAACATCTAATAAGGTAGGATATACCGTAACATAACAATAAAGTTCTAACATTGTTTATTAGTAAATTGCAACATTGTTCACGTGTTGAAATCTGGTAAACTATATTTCAATATTGTTTACGCATTGTTTATCAGCCCGACAATCCAGCCTACAATCATTGGAAAGCTAATCTAAATAACAATGACCTTCGTAGTGGTTCGTAGCTACGTTCAAAACTTACCTACGAGCAGATTACTAGAGGTTACACGTAGATATGAAGCGATAATTTGTGTTTGTACTGTACATAACATGTTTTTATTTTTTAATAGTAAATTAGTGAACAAACCTTTCCGCCCCTTAGATATTGTTTTGCTACAGTCCCCCAAATGACAGTGTAAAAATATACAAACATGAGCGTTTGTGAAAACATATTGTTTAAACACACACATATTCTAGGCTTTGTTCTGATTGGTTAGTTGTTAAGTTTGTTTGACACTAGAGAAAGCTCCATTTAGCTTAGTTTTCGATGATTAGGAGGACCCCTGCCCCCCCCCCCTTATTCCCATGGGGTACACTTATTTGGGTTTTGGGAGTAACTTCCTCTGGTTTGTGTCAAGAGGTACTGTACAGTAGCTCCAAT